CGCGCTGAATGAGGTCCCTCCGAGTTTCGCTGATTGCCCTGCTCTGTGCTGCAACAGGAAAGTTGTCATCATGAAGGGCAGTGGGGTGACCTTTTCCACAGGTTTCACACTTCATCTTCCTTTGGCAGGACCGCCAGACATGTCCACGCCTCAAGCATCCTCTGCAGAGTCCATACTTCATCACTGCAGCCTGCTTCTCTTCAAGGGTCATCTTGGTAAACTGTTCACACTCTGCCACTGGGTGAGCGGCAGCAACTGAAACACCTGAGCGGTCGGAGCACACCACACACCCTGGTCTGACAACACTGTGGCTGTCCCTCTTTGAGGCTGGTGCAGCAGTCGTCTGGAGCGCTCTTACAACTCTCCTGTCTCTGCGCACATCCTTCTCTTCTTTGTTGGCAGAGTCTTCGACGGGACCACAGGCCACTCTCGCTTCCTTCGCCAGGAACTTCACGAATTCCTTGAATAAAGGATATTCTGCTGGCTCACCATCTTGTGGCTCATACAGTCGCTGATCCACATATCTTCTCCAACGATCAACCACATGTTTGGGCAGCTTCTTCAACATGTAGCTGTTTTCATGCTGGTCGTCCAACACCTTCAAGTGCCCAGACGTCCTTGACAAGGCATCACACTGCTGAAGAAAGTCTGCAAACTCTCTCAGAGCCTTGCCATCTCCACTCTTGATATTTGGCCAGTTTCGGATCCGTCGTTTGTATGCAGCTGCTCGTACAAACTCGTTTCCATATCTGTCATTGAGTCTGTTCTTTGCCTCTTGGTAAGCATCTTCTGTCCGCAGCTGGATGAATCCAAGAATTGCCGCCTTCGCTTCACCTTCAGTGTATTTACCCAGGTAATGCAGTCTTTCGATTGGAGAGCTGGTCTTGGCTTCTATGTATGTTTCAAATGACTTGAGCCACAACTCAAACTTTGCCACATCACCATAGAACACGTCCGGTTCCAGAGCAGGAAGGTGGCTCTGCTTTACTTCACGCTGCAACAGATTTACGAGGCCCTGGATAACATCCATGCTCTGCTCCTGTTCACTTGTCTGTGGAGCATGGACATTTGACGCTGGCCTTTGCTGCTGACTTGTCTGTGGGACTCGGGTTCTTGGGGCAGCATCTTGGAGTGGCAGGTCCAGCATCAACTGGGACATGCGTCTTGCTGTCGTTGCTTGGAATGCATCTTGGTTTCTGGTGGTGTCATTCATATCTCTTTCAAAATCATCAATGGCTCTTTCCCTTGCTTGGCTGACAGCAAACTCTGTCATCAACTTCATGTCTTCCTCCTCACACTGCAGTTCCAGTTTCCTCTTGTTCATTTCTTGGCTTTTCTTGATAACAGCTGCTCTTGCTGCCAGTTCTGCTTGCTTTTGTCTCTCCTTCAGCTTGGCGGAGCTCAACGTCGAGCTTCCCCCATCTGAATGTTGACTGACTCTAGACAGAGCGGTTCTTGACGTCACAAAGAGGTTTGAGGCACTATCTTGAGGTTCAACACCATCAGCAGGCATTTCTTCGGGCTTGATGTCCGCAAGATACTTCAACACCTTTGCCTTCATGGCATGATTGTCATCAAGCTGACTCAAATGCCTACTCACGTGGTAATCAATCTCATCATCTGGAAGCAGGGACCTTAACTCATGATCAGATGACGTCAGCTCCTGACACAGCTTCAGCCAGTTCTCGAGCTCAGCTTTGACACATCCTATGCCTTCGTTTGCAGACATAACTTCAATCAGCCTCTGACCACTGGACCTTACTGCACTTAATGCTCTCTTGTACACCTTTTGTTTTACACCGAGTTGATACTGAGCTCCCTTCTCTGTTGTCTTACGACTTCTCACGCCATCTGTCACATCATCTGCATTTTGATGATCAGCCATCATGGAGTGAGAGGATGACCAGGGAATTCAGGTAATGAAATTCAGCCACAGGAAAAGAATCAATGTCTACACAAGGTGACAGAGGAGACAATATCATACATCTACAACTACAGGTGACAATTCGGAGTTGCGTAGAATTGGTCAGGTAAAATCAGTTCATGTAGGTTGTGTTAGTACAGGTCAAGTCAGCAATTCAGGAGGTCATGGTAACCCGATCAATACAGATCATATGAAATTTGCTATTCGTGGCTAGACTACGATAATTTACTGTTACAGCCATCTAATAATGCGATTCAGTGACATAGCTGTATTATGCCGTAAATTCTGAAACGAACAGAAAATCGTATGAAACAGTCGTTAAATCGTTTAGAATGAAGTCAGCCAATAACTCATTGCACAGTACATAGCAAAAATTAATCATTTCAACCAACTTACATCGTTTGCGCCTTTCTGCCTTTCAATTCATCCAAACAATGCGGAACGTTCGTGACGCCGCCACGCGGCCGAACTCTTTGCCTCCACCGCGCCGCTAATGCCTTTCGCCGACGTAGGACGAGGCAACCAAAATATACGGCCCGCGACACTCGCGGTTACAGGCAATGTGTGAAATTTTTTACCCCAGGTCATGTCAGGTCAGGTCACCGGTCAATTTAACTGACCAAGTTTGCAATCATGTCCAGCCTGCAGTGTTTGTTAGAGAGGTTTTGAGCTTGGTGGATTGCAAGTTGCATGATGTTATGGGCGCCTATAATTTGTATGTATATCTCGGATTTTTTATATCCGTGACCTAAGGTCAGGACAGTGGCGTGACCTTTCCATTATAAGTCAATTGAGAAAAATGGAAATGCCTCTAAATCCGTGTGTACGCATAGGAACAGTCCATTCCATATTTTAGAATCACAAAGGTTTGGACCACCCGTGACCACCAAGGTGTCTTTTTTGCTGATAGCCTCTAGAAAGGTCATCCGAGGTCATTTGACCTTTCTTTGAGGTCATTTGAGGCTACAAACAGATTTTTTGCCAATAACTCTCGATTGGAAAGAGATAGAACGCTGGGGATGGCTTCATTTTGCTTGTCGTGTCGAGACGCATCGAATGATATGCAGCATGACCCATTTGAGTCACCACGTGACCTTGACCTGAGGTCAAAATTTGACCTCGACCTTTCCTCGAAACACGATAGTGCCATTGCCAAATCTTTGTCTTTGCTGGTTCAAAAGTTATTTGTGAAAAAAAAATGTTACCCAAAAACAACTATTTTCACAATGTTTGGCCTATGGAGGCTTAACCGTTGATCTGAGGTCAATTTTGATGATAACCTTATCAAAAGAAGAGTTCAAAAGCTTTCGATTACTTTTCCATATTTTTTCTAGCTGTCATAGGTAGTTCTTGAGATAACGGCATGTGTTCTTTAAAAAAAGCAATGACATTTGGCAAATTTTGACCTTTGATGACCTCTGGTGACCCCAATATTGCTCTAAGATGAAAAATGACTGAAATACTTTCAAACGTACGCATTGAGAGCTATCGACTGCTTTTTACCGCGTCTTTCTAGCCCTCTTAGTTTTTTAGTTAGAGGTGGGTGGTAACATATGCCCCCCCCCCCCCCCCCCACCATGGCGAAGTTGGCTGAGACCGCCACTGGGGCGCGGGTTAACCCTTTGGCTTAAACTGCATGAGTTCTAAAAAGTCCCTTTGCCATTGTATTCCTACATATGTGCAAGACAAGCTATAAAGTGAAGTCATGGCTGTTGAGACTTACTTGAATCAGTCGAGAGCAGTGACTAGTGAGATGATCAAGCTGACCCCTGCAGAAGATCATACAATACTGATGCATGCGATGTCCATGATTCTCCCGCCACGTCTTGGACCACTTCACGACCACTTCACGCAATGCCCCAGTCTTCACCCTCCAGCATACCGACATTCACTAGATGTACGTACGCATTGCGCAACGTCCGACTACACCTTCTCAAAAGACAGCACTCGGGGGACGCCGGTGAAAACAGGGCGCCGGAGGGCATATTAGTCACGTGACATTTGGAACTTCTCCCGCTCCATGGGCATTCTATATGCCAAACGTCACGTGTAAATTTCACGAACCTTGATCAAATCGCCCCAGGCGCCCTGTTTTCACCGTCGTCCCACTCGGGCACCTGCACAGCGCGCCGCTACAATCGCTCAACCACACAGCTCACTCAGCCGACCCGCGCCACTGACCCTCCCCGGGTCGGGCGCACGGGCGAGCCCAGACAGCTAAAATCCGACGATGTCTCGGTACGGACGCACCGGATCAAGTCCATAAGTTTTTTTTTTAGGGGGGAGGGGTTAGGCCCTTTCGGTCCAATGAGACCATTTCAGAGCCGAAAGAATACCTGATAGGAATTAGGGGTAGACATTGGTCTGGGTAGGCACCCATAGGGAGTCGCCGGGGCTGAGCCCGTCCGTTAGGACAGGCCACCCAGCCCCCCCCCCCCCCCCCCAAAGCACTCGCTGCACCCGGCTACGAGTGGCTCCCTCAGGAGCTGCGGTGCGCTCCGAAAGGAGCAGCCCGCATGGGATAAAGTTGCCTGCCCAGACAGGAACAGGGCAGTAGCGGCGGAACACCTTCAGTTAAGAGGGGGCACTGCCGACTTTTGGTCCCATTCTTTCCATGCAACGCCCATAGGGCTAATGTTGAAATGTCAAAATCAAAGGGGGGCACGGTGCCCCGTTGCCCTCCCCGTTCCGCCGCCTATGGAACAGGGTTGCAGCGTGGAGGAGAAGGATTTCAGTATCCTGAGGATAGATACGACGGAACGGGTGTGATGTCCACAAGCCAAGCGGATGGACTTTATTCAAAGTGAGTGTGATATGTGGTATAGTGAGTGCGTGGTACTCGATTTAGACACGTGACTCTGGATGATTTCGTAAGATATAGCTCAGATTGTCCTATAACAGGTATTTTTTTCAATTCATCGTATCAATGAAACTTGTAAAAAAAAAAACCCTTGAGCTCTTTTTTGCACTAAATAATCATATAAATAAGGTATGGTAATGACATTAAGTACAGTAAAATCGTTGGTAACAGAGCTGTCACATTGTAACTTGTGTGCTCTTCATCAAAGTGCGAAGGTATTGCGTTGCTGTTGCTGTAAGTTTTATTTATACATGCAGTCAGCATGTTTCCTTGGTCGGATTCATTTCGTATTTCATCAGCCAGGATAGCAAGACATTTTCAGAACAAAACAAAACAAAACAAAGACACCAAGGGGACGTGATAGCCGATCAGTGAGCGATTCAGCGGCCTCGGACAGCCGTCGGCGGCTCAGGAAGCCTTCCGCGAGGTCTTCTCCGTCTCCTGACAGCACTCGATGCCGCTGATGAGGCCCTCTCCCCAGAGCTCGCACCAGGCCACTGTCAGCAGCGCCGTCATGATGCCGAACGTCATCGCCGACACGGTGGCGTCGAACGCCACCTTGGAGCCCTCAAAGAGCGACCAGACGCGCGGCCGGCAGCCGGGCCGGTCCACGCTCGCTCCGCCGCCGGCCGCCGCGGCGCCCGGGCCCGCCGGCGACGAGTCGTTCTTTCCGGACGCCGCGGCGGTGGTGGCTGCCGCCGGGGCCGCCGTGGTGGCCTCCAGACGACTGGAGCTGTTGGTGGCCGGCGCCGTGCCGTTCCCCCCGCCAGGAGCGGCGCTCTCCGACGCGGTGCCGTTGCCGGCGACGGCCGAGTCTGTGGGCAGCGTGGCGCCCGGCAGACAGGTCTGCGGCGTGGGGAACTTGGCGCTGTAGTCGGTGGGCGCATTGACGCCGCAGCAGCGCAGCTTCACCTCGAAGGTGGCCAGTGAGCTGTAGAGCGACTGGCTGGGTGCGCGGCTGTAGTAGCTGATGATGTCCTGGTCCATCTGCGCGTAGGGCGTGTTGGACGAGGTCCACGGCCGGCCGAGGAACGGCGCCGACTTCAGACCGGTCACCTGGTCGAGCACAGTTTTAGGAATTTATCAAACAGTTGAAAGAGAAATCAAATGGATTTTTTCTTTTAGTTGATGTATTGAATGGTCGGTTTTGCCATGATGAAATAATTAAATATGGTGATGAAATTGACCAATAACATGGCAGTGAGATGTATTTTTACATAACAAAATAGGCCGAAAATATAGAACGAGCTTTCGTCTTACGACATCATCGGGTTCTGCCGATGATGTCGAAAGACGAAAGCTCGTTCTATATTTTCGGCCTATTTTGTTATGTAAAAATACATCTCACTGCCACGTTATTGGTCAATTTCATCACCATATTTAATTTTCTTTTAGTTTTTTTTTTTTCAAGGATTAGCATAGTTGACCGTGGTAAGTGGTTGACATCGCATTGCGCCTGGTGCACTTGCCGGTAGCGTGATGTGTTGTGATAATTTTCTAACAATGTTTTGTTGAATCGTTGATTATAAAATGTGTGACTTGTTCATTGATGATTTTAACGTGATCTCGTTAGTCCTGGCGACACAAACGCTACCACATTGCACATTGCAGGTATGGAGGGCTCACATTAAAGCGTATTTTTCTAAAGGATGAATGTATCGGTAAAGGGTCATTGAGCTACCATTGGCAATAGCTTGAATGCGTGGCTGCTCACGCGTGTGCCGTATATGCTAGTATATGTATATAGGTATAGTATCTACGACCGTGGACTGCTGTTGGATAGAGGATGTTTGTGCTGCTTTATATATGTAGTTGCATACTGAAACGGGTGCCAACAGATTGAAGAGGGATGATATTAGATCAAAATTATCCTGGAGCGTCTCCAGTAGCGGAACATCAAACAGTCACTAATGAACAGGAATATCTAAACACCGCTAGCTAACACATGAGGCTTATTCGCAGCTCATTATCAACTTAAGCTTCGCATTATACGAATACCTACCTATAGAAGATATGCACTAACACTTTTGCGATTTTTCGCATGCGCTGAAATGAAATATTAGAAAGATTATGATAGCTTTATGCATGAGCTCAGATTGACAAAACGGTTTCGAGGGCTTTGGTTGCTGATTAAAAATTCACAAAAATATGAGAAAGTTCAAACTGAGCGCTATATTTTCATTGTATTTACTTTGTATATATGGAAGGTTCGTCGAGGTTCAATACCCATACAAATTATTTAAAAAAAAAAAACGGGGAAATAGCATAGCTTTCATTTTTACGTAAGTGCTATCGCAAGCTTTCTAATATATATATATATATATATATATATATATATATATATATATATATATATATATATATATATATATATATATATATATATATATATATATATATATATATATACATATATATCAATTTTAGCTTATCAAGGGACATCGACTAAAGAGGGGTTCGAGAGAAAGACCTGGCGTGACAAACTGAGGCAGATCGAACAGTTGTCCGTTGTGTTGAGTTCCTGACAAATAGGCTATCATATGTTGAACATTATTTCGATTTATGATCAGCCAGGAGCATTCACCAGCTTGAGCATTGGGATCACGTGCAGGGGCAAATCGTTCATATTTTTACTCACCGGAGGCTTGCACACAATGGAGAATCGTATGAAAAGAACGGCGAGCAGCAGTGCCATGTAGATCCGAAGCATCCATTTCATTTCGTAGCAAAGAGCAAAGATGAGCCCAATACCCTGGTTGAAGATGTCCACAAATGTGGCGCTCAGCAGGAGATTGCCGAAAATCACCGTCATGATCGGGTCCTTCAACTCGGTTTCCTTGACAATGTTGTAACCCATGAGGATTCCGCTTAGTGCCGACGCATCTGCCAGGATTACTCCTAGACATGTCATACCCGAGAGGGACTTCAGAATACTCTGAACAATCATCGCAAGCATGATTGCTTTCCGTAGGGTTTGGAACTGGTTTCTAAAAATGACTAGGGCCGGTCTCCTCTTTCTTTTAGACAGTCAAAACAAAGCCAAAGTCTATCAAACATCTTTGTGGTTATCATAAGCCATTGATACGGTAATGAATTTGTTTCTCAAATAAAGTTAAGCGAATATAAATACAAAATTGCCCAAATTAAGCTGGCATTACAACTCTGTCTGTGTTTATCTGTCGGTTTGCCATAATCGTCGCATACTGTTCACAAATGAAGCAGAGATGTTTTTATCCAGAAGCGTGACTAACAATTTTAATGATCCGTTGTTTCAATGTCAAATTATAGCCAAGGTACGTAGGGGAGAGTGGGGCAAAGCGGATGCACTCGGGGTAAAGCGGCCACCCATCGTTTTATGAGCCCTACACAGCTAGCCCGTCAGCTCCAATTTATGGTTGCCAATTATATTTATCTTCGCGGTCGCTCGAATGAGCCAGACCGGTGTTTCTGGCCCGTCGCCATTGTTCCGTGAAACACGGAAAAGCATTTCTTGTCAGGTTACTAACTATTTTAACGACTTTTAGATGTTAATAACCACCAATAATTCTATTTAAGCGATCTTGTTCATGGATTGTGTGGTTATCGTATAGATGTCTTTTACCAATTTTAATGCTTGTTGCCCCACTAATAGCTGAGCTGAAATATTTTTTTGTCGCGGACGTTATGCTCGGGGCAGAGTGAACGGGGCAAAGTGGCCAGCTCCGAATTGGCCATAAGTTGTTTCCATCTGGACCGCAAATGTTATTGATATTGAAATGCATCGTGCCAATCATTCATCTCGGCCAGACTTTTCGGTTACATTAATTACCAAAACTCGTTTAAACCTTGTCACCATCCTAGTCGTATAGTCGCCTACAGAATGATGTTCCACTCCTCAGAAGCTATCAGTTGACCGGAGCGCTAAGTTGTGCCGCTTATCACGCAATTAAAGTGACTATCCCACCTTAACATTAGTTTTGAGTTGAGATTGCCAAATTGGTGGCCATGGCCTGCAAATACCGGTTTGGGCACTCACGGCATCGAAAAATGTTTTAATTCGGAGATATGGAATTTCAAACTTGCAGCTTTCGGATTCTAAGGGGCTAATGCATTGGAATGCCCCCTTAAAATTTGTGACGTCAGCGGTGATCTAACGATTTTAAAACCTTATACTAACATCTTTGTGAAGGAGTCCAGGTATATGCTATTTGCGCGCAACATCTGCCGCAAACGCCGCACTTCCCAAATGAAGTCGCTAGGAATAGCGGAGATCCCCCAAAAATAAACAAAAGTAAAAGTTTAATATCTTGAAAACTGGTGAATATTTTTCGGTGAAATTTGGTAGATATTCGTTTTTGCTCTTTCTGAACCGAGCGACATCACTTTCATGCCAATTCATCAACTTTTTTGAAGGTGGGAGGGTCCCTTTAAGCTTGTCGATTGTGAGCATTGGAACAAAGCTATAATTTGTTAACTCAGCCCGTGTGATGCGGCACAGCCTACCACTCCAGGCAAATAATTGCCTGTGAAAAGTGGAACATCATTCTGTAGTCGACTATACCCTAGGCAACTATTCTGTTTCTCATATCGAGTTGAGAAGTCGCCGGTGGACGCTTTGCCCAAGGGTATGGGGCAAATTGGCCAAAATGCAAAGGTATAAAGTTTTGCCAATATCTCCCATATGTGAACGCCTCTGGAAATAAAAACACAGTTGAAATAAAAGACAGTTTAACCCTCGCATGTGTAGGGGGGGTCGGATGGACCCCCCCCATGGTTTTTCGCGAATAACTCGCGTAAAAAGCGGCCGATCGCGACGAAACTTTCAGTACCCTCGCATTGATCAATTTTACACCTACCCTGAAAATTTCATGACCCTGACCCAAATGACCCTTGACCTGTGACCTCTTTTCCGAGACCATGTTTGGCCGGAATCGCGATTCGGCGTAGGGGAGAGTGGGGCTAGTTGTTACAAGGGTAAGTTGTTACAAAGGAAATATCTTTAAAAATGCTCTTGATATGGCGCCAATATTTACGCTAACAGAAAGGTTACGCACATTTTACATGTCACTGCAGGCTCAGACCTGGTGGAACGCCATGTCGCCCTGTAGGCGCACTGGGGTAAGTTGTGACAGCAAAAGTATTTTTTGCTGGCCAACACTTTGGGTCGTTTTTTGTCAAGGTTATTTGTGTAAGAATGTTGAATGTATGTTCACAAAATTAAGCGATGATTTCTTTTGTAAGATCACCAAGTAAAACGCACTAGCCTCTTCATGTTAACAAACATTTGAGTTCAGTCTTGTGAAAGTCGGCCGCCGCAGGGCCGGGGCATGTTTAAAGATGGCTACCCAAGACTGCTTATAGCGTGCTCCATTTCACCTGGGCGTAAATTTCGTGCAGAAAATCAAACTCCGGTCAGTATGGCAATGCATGGTGCCCTTGGCGTCGCTGTAAAGGCAAATCAGAGATTGAGCCATGTTTGATGAGCCTTTTCATGCGTGTGGAGTACAGTAATGGTTTATGCTTTATTGTTCTTGCCTTTCAATGAGAAAGGAAAGCATGTTTAGTATTATCCATTAGGGAGGCTTACGATCGATTCCGATAGGACGGCCAATGACCGTTATAATGATGAAGAAACTACGAAAAAAGAAGTGTAACATGTTACCCCCTATCGTGTATCAAGTTGCCCCACAATTTTTCAACTTACCCCAAAAATCTTGCTTTGGTTTTCTGAATTTCACATAAAAGTGAATAGTCGTAAATAAGTGAAAGTTTGCATGTGCTTTCCAAATTGATTCAGCTAGCATGTGACCAAAATTGGTGCAATTTCATTGAATAGCTTGGCCACTAAGTGCAGAAGACCAAAAAGTGTAACGCATAGCCCCAGTCTCCCCTACGTCGGTTCGCATTAGCCGCGCGTTTGCAAGATTTTCGTGGTTTCGAACGTTCAAACATGTGATGTGATGTTGCTCCCATGCATTAGGGTGGGTGTCAAGGTCACCTGAAGGTCAGGTCAGGTCATTGACCTTTGGTGACCTCGGGTGACCTCGGCTCACTTTTTCGAGTTTTACATGTTTCTAGGCTAGTTTTTGGAGCTGAATTCGAATTTAGCAACCTCTTGAACATTTACGAAGTAGTTTTGGTGCCTTCGTAACATGTTACGAAGCTGTCAGAGGCGATTGATACGTACTACGAATACCCGTCACGACGCCTACTGGTTGACCTGACCTGACCTGACCCGACCTGGTCTAAATGCTTAAAGACATCATCTGTGATCAAAACTAACACGATATTCGTGATCAATACCCCGAAAAACCCCTTAGCAGCCACACTTTACGACTTTCTAATAGGTCCCGATTTTCCCGACGTTGGGTCATTGACCTGACCTGGAAGGTCAACCAATGACCTAGGACCTTAAAATTGGGTATCATCGGCTTCCTCTCGTCACGGGCAACACGCTCGTTTTTTCCGCGAAGCTCTAGCTTGATCAGGGGCCAAACGGCAAGGGGGATCCAACCGACCCCCCCCCCCCCCCCCTACACATTAGAAGCTGGAAAACGCCGCACACATGCGAGGGTTAATAGCGATCATATTGGTATAGAGGGAATCTTTCCTGGTAATAAAGTCAAGCATCAGCATCGTAAAAAGCGTTAGGGTGTCCGCTTTGCCCCACTCTCCCCTACCTCGAAAAGGGGTCGATTACAACGTTATCATGCCTAAAAGTGTGTCCTTCCTCTCGAGGGTTACAGATTGCGTCGTAGGACCTTCGTAAGCAGGTAGCAGAGCTGTATGGAAACCGGTAATCATTTCATCTCATTGTGGCCCGAACAAACGCATCACAAATTTGCTAACTTCATTTTGTCAAATAAAACGCAAGTCGCGAAAGCAACATAACTAACACCACGAAACACTTATGATCACAGCAAAATATTGAAGATGCACATAATTAAAGTTGCACATAACATACATATATAGTGGCAATACCAATATCCTCACGCCTTTACGAATTGCCAGTAGATGCTGGTATAGCTACTTTCTAGTTAGCATAACCATGGTTAGAATTTGAACAGTAATCAAAGCAAATATTACGTGGACCTGATGCAATTAGCTTGACCGTGTGTATTAACAGTAGACATCGGTTTATGAATGCAACTTGCAAGAGCTTTAGTCATTTCATGCCTTATACAAGCACGTCGGCCGAACACAAAACGCCAGCCGTCAATCCATACAAATATCATCAAGCTCACTTGCAGCTCTGCCATATTAAGAGCACCACGTCCACACATTGACTTTAGAGACACACGTGGTGCCACCAACCGCTTTCGTCATTGTCCGTTCACCAGCCTATTGTCCGTAGGCGAGCCATGGTGATCGGGAGTGACCCGCGGGCCTGCGCCCCACTGCACCAGAGCTCGGCGACAGTACACAGCAACTGCACAGGACGCTCGGTGGGTCGGCTTCCGACAGCCGCACCGGCGATCACCGGCCGCGCGCACTCACTTTGGTCCTGTGGCGCCACAGTTCTGCGCTCCCAGTCCACCGAGCCCATCACGTCACCGGCCCGTGCGCGGACCTCAGTCTGACGTGTGAGAACCGTCTCAGTTCGCGGAACCGTCACATACCAGGGCGATGTTGGTCGGCATGATATGAGCCGGGCGGCACGGCCACTCGGGGCAGTTCATACGGCCGGCGCGGCCCCATATATCGCCGCGCATATGTCGCTCGGCGGGGCCGGGCTGCGCCGACGGCGATCTATGTGCTGTATAAACCGGCCTGGCCGGCAGTATCTGACGGCCCCGGCCCGGCTGCAGACCACAGGCCACTCCGGGCCGGGCAGGCTCGGACCCGACAGCCGCCGGACAGTCGCACCGGACAGGCTCGGACCGGACAGTCGTGCTGGGCAGGCTTCGGACAGATGATCGCGGGTTGGACAGCTTGGGTGGCTCACAGTGATGGGACATCCCTGGCTGCCGACCTCGACTGTGGCTAATTCACTAGACGAAGATGCGTGGTTTCCTCCTGCCCTGTTGTCGCTCCCGCTGCCGCTCCCGCTGCCGCCCCCGCTGCCGCCCCCGTTGCCGCCCTCGCTGCCGAGGGCGTCCCTTCCGCCGGCCAGACGAAGGCCGGCCTGAAAAGTCGCGATAACCACACTGTTAGCCGGCGAGTATATGTACCGTGGCAAATGACATGTCTTCAATCAGTGTTGAAGGCATAGAACGCCCCATAAGTTGGCTCACAGGGAGCAGAAATGCGAGTTATTCAAAGCATAAATGCCTATCTCCAGGCAACATGTGTTGTTTGGGTCGTATAAATTTTAAACAGATAATAGTTTAAAATATTGATGTTTTAAAGTTTTATGCAAAGGTTTATGGTGGTCAACAATATAGCAGGGTTAGCCAGCTACATTTTGTTTACAATGGCCATGAACAGGTGCTTTACATTGTGGGTTACGGGTTATTATTATGTATGTACATACATAAGAAATATACAATTGATTAATAATCATTACCTGCACTTTCATATTTTCGGATGGCTGGAGAAAAGAACTACATTAGTTGTGTGTTCACATTCGCTGATCTTATTAGGCAGGCGTAGGTACATTCTTTCACGACAATGAGTAAAACAAAAACAGACTCCTTAGGAACTCATGAATAGCAATTAGGTTACAAACGGTCATTCAATCTAATCGCTTTGCATCAACAGTCAACGAGTGCATAGCACTGTAACCGTAAAAAGCGACTGATATAAATCAGACTGAGCAAATCAGTGATATTCTTCTGGTAATGTGTCAGGTCGGCTTAAACAATATTTGCTGGCTGTTTTATATTTGGAGGCTGTTTTATATTTGGAGAACTCATTCAGTCGCTGACTAGTGCGCCGGAGTGGCCGAGTCCATCCCGCGGCGATGAGACGGGGGATTCTCGGCGGATACGTCACTCGGTCCCTCAAACGGTCACCGTGAGAGCGTGTGGGTGCCTGCAAAAAAATGTCCTTTACCAGTACGCTGACCGTCCGTCATTCCGGACAGGGTTTTAGGACAAAGGGTACAGGCGGGGGGGGGGCTGAGAATAGTTAGAATGGATCAGCATTTACTGTTTTGATGATGGGGTAAGGACATTTTCGAGCTTTTTTTCAACATTGAACAAGCAGGTCATGCTTTCCCACGCCGGTGTAAAAAAAAGCTTATCGCCATGCAATGTTAGCGTTGCATCATGCTGCGTCTAATCGTAAGGGAGGTAGCTGGTAGGTGGGTGTGACCAACAGCCACCGGAGCACCCGCGCACTTTATCTGCCGACTGCCACCCTATGGACGATGACCTAACAACCATGTTGTCTCTAGTAGCCCGGTATAGCCCAACTTACCAGCTCATGCACCGGAGCTTGGCTCAAAAGCGCTGATCTGCTGCCAATACCGGCAATACTTCCGCAGCCCCAGCACTGCATGCAGCCTCCACCGGCTACCGAGCGAGCGACTTGTGGCGTCATCTAAGCGAGTCGTGCTGCTGCTAGCAGCGCTACCTGTAGGGACGTGGGTCGTGCAGCGCCCTCTACTCACATGCACTCTAGCTGCGTGTCCGTGGACGGTGTCGGCGGCGGCCCTTGCGCCAGCGTCCCTTCCTGCCCCTCTTACGTTTGTTGCAGCGACGTCCGAACCAGCCCCTGTCGCACTCGCAGCGCGAGCCGACGCACTGTCCGTGGCGGCAGCGGCGACACGGCTGGCGTGCCACCACCTCGCAGTGGTCGCCCGAGTAGCCGGACCGGCAGCGGCACCGGTTGACGCCGCGGCACCGGCCGCCGTTCTGACACGGCACCAGACACTTGCCTGTGGGCAGACGAACGTGCCGGGGCACAGGTGTTAGGCTGCTGCCAGTTCTACTGCCAGCCGGACATCGTGTGACGACTATCAGCGTTCTGCTTATTTTGTCGGAGCATATTTGTTTAACTGGCAACAACTTGAAATACCTAACATGGAAAATGTCGGCTCGGGAGGCCGGTTGTAAGTGCAGTTGAGTACCTACTTAGTACAGCGGATATATTTCCTGAACATAAAAAGCACTGAACAGTGAACTGCAATCTAGAAACGTGCTACCAATGTATATCAAGCGACTACGTAGGCATTACGAGATTATCCAGATATATTTTTACATCAATACCTTGAATCTCCATTATACCTATACATGTTTAACTTTTAAGGAAATGGCATATCTATGTATAGCAAAACTTAGAGGTAAACCGACAATAAACACAACCATCTTTTGGCGCTCTCCTCTGAGTGCTCAATCATAATTATCTAGGTCGGAACAGCTAATTATCGTTCATGCCTAGGCAAGAAGACATGAGAACAGCACATATTGCATCGGCCATGCGGACAAGATGATGCTAGAACATCACCAGCAGCTGGCCGAGCAGACAGGCAGCCCACCCAGCGCCAGCCGCCCCGACACTTACTGTACTGGCAGCGGGGTCCGTAATAGCCTCTCTTACAATGACACGTATCCTTTTGTATGCATTTACCACCGTTTAGACACCGTTCATGACAAATACCTGTGGGCCATGAGAGTGTTCCGTCAGTGTTTCGGCGGGCCTTCATCAGCAGTCGACCGCCCGCCTGTTCCACGCCAAGACAGCCGGCTCTCGGCGCAGACAATAGGCGGCAATTCAACTCATTAGCTGCCGCCGCATCTCTAATGCAACGAGGCATTATCTCACGATTATGAAAATAATGTTGCAATGAAAGGTTGGTTTATCTTGGACGAGCCGGTAATTAACTATCGACAAACCCTCTCTTTAAGGTTTATGGTGATACGTTGTCACTGATAAGTTGAAGATATTATATTTATTCTTCCTGTAATGAGCCATGATCTTATGACAATGATTATGGCAGGAAATATCAACGATTTTTTACCGAAGACTTGCAGGCTTCGCAAAACAAACGAGCAGACAGAGATGCAAAATGCCTGGACACGCCAACCCATTCTATTCCGGACATAGCTACGTCTAAAGGACGCTGCTCATCAGAAGCCGGCTTAGCAAGGTGTCCCGTTCAGTCACATCTTATTGCCCACATCCCTAGCTCTGCCATCGTGTCGTCCGATTCAGGGTTTGTCTATTCTAGTTCAGGTACGGTTAGATCCGGCCATATAAGGTCACTTCAGGTGAGGTCAAGTGCAGTCCAGACAGGTGTTACGTCAGGTCAGGTCAAGTTCAGTTCAGTTCAGCTCAGTTCATTTTATTGAGTAATAGATACAAAACAACTGACAAGTTCAGTGGTGGATCGGCCAAAAGATGAACTTGAAGTGGAAATAATAGAAACAAAACAACTAACAAGTCCATTGGTGGGTCATATGTCCTCGGGTCAGGTCAGTTCAGGCTGATCAATGCCGGTCAGGTTAGGACAGGTCAACTGCGGTCTGGTGCGCCGCGAAACTCCACCAATCCCCCCCCCCACACACACACACACACCCACACCTGCTCCGAACTGCACTCACCTCCTTCGCAGTGCGGGCCCTGATAGCCGAGCTGACACTCGCACTTGCCCGGCTTGACGCACGTGCCGCCGTTCATACACTGCGGGTAGCAGAGCGCCATATTGCAGTACTTGCCCATGTAGCCCAGCGGACACTGGCACTGGCCGTCAGCACTGCAGAAGCCGCCGTTGCCACAGCGTTTGTCACACTCGGGATCTGGCCCTGGCGGAATGGCACCTAGTCACACTCGGAATCTGGTGGCATGACATCACTGGTCAGGAAGGGTCCTGGCGGAATGGCGCTGTAGTCAGGGCGGGCCCTGGTGGAATGGCACCTAGTCACACTCGGGATCTGACGGAATGGCGCACATTAACCTTCCAGGCGGTGGGGGGGGGCATTTTTTGCCCCCCCCCCCTTTAGTTTTTTCAATATATCTCGAGAACCGCTGCGCTGATCGTCACCAAACTTTCAGTACCCTCCCGGGAGCAGCTAGCGCACATGGTGACCAAAATTTTTTCCAAAGGCTATGATAGGTTGGCCGCTAATGACGTCAGAGTGACGTCATTTTTACCATTTTCGACCCAAAAAAAGGTTTCACGGGAAGAGCTGTCAGGCCTACAGCTTTAGAGATACAGAAAAATGTTTCAGACATAAAAGGTGTCGAATCAAAAGGGCTACAAAACTGCTATTTCGGTTTTCGATTTTTTTTTATTTCGACCCCCAAAAATAAAAAAATAGATTTTTTAATATAATAGCCAAAAAATCCAAAAAGTTTTTTGAATTTCGAAAAAACGGAATAAATGTGATAGTACCTATCGCCTTCTATCTACATACAAAATTTGAGATCGATACCTCTTTTTTTGGCCAAGTTATAGCGAAAAAACTGTTTAAAAATGATGACGTCAATTTTTAGCAATTCTAGACCTCGTAGCGCAAAACAAAGACCACCATTAGACTCGCCGTGACGAGGTGCATCGAATTGATACCTATTTTATGTAAAAATATCAACTTTGAATTTTGACCTTTTTTGACCTGACCTTGACCTGACCTCCACCAGAAAGTGACCTAAACCGTACCTGATGGTCTTATAACAACCACCATTGAGTTGGAAATGAAAAACTGGCCATAAAACATGCATCGCATAACCTTAGTAAAGTTGGGCTCACGTGGTGACCCTTGGTGACCTTTGGTGACCTGACCTGTGACATGACCTAGTATGACCAGTGACCTCTAATAGCAACATATGTACTAGACAACTGACGCCTTATCGTTGATTTTCGACAAAATGCGTTTTACTCGGTGTTATAGCGCTTTCCCTAGAAGCCCCGTGAACGGTGAAACATTTTATCTTTGACCTGACCTGTGACTTCATTGGTGACCCCGAGGTCAATGAAATTTGGTTTCCTTCGACAAATTTGACAGGGCTATCGAACGCCGTTTGAATTTTCCGGATCCGTCCAGTAGTTTCGGAGATACGGGAGGGGGGCAAAAAAATGCTCCCCCCCCCCCCCCCCACCGCGCGGAAGGTGGCTGGTAGGCCCACCTCCTGCCGGGTTAAGGAGGGGTCTGGCACTGGCAAAATGGCACGCAGGCCGGGATCTTGCATGCTATAAAACTGTGAGCTTACGGGCAGCCTGAAATATAGCAATATTGTATCAACTAACGAATGTCTGCATAATAAGAGATAGTTCTAACTTCTGACAACCACGCGGCGATCGGACGACGCGCCGATGACCCACGGCGTACCATGGCTAATGCGGCACTCCTTCTTGAGCCGCAGTCGGAGTGGCATGCCCCGCACGCGCCGTCCTCGGCGGCGGGTCATCACGTCCAGGCCGACGGTGAAGAACACGACGCCCGAGACGTTTCCGACGCACGGCAGCACGATGGAGAACACTGCGGTGGCGGGGGAGAGTCGGAAGGAGTGGTCAGTAGTCAGTACTGTTCAATGCAATTCTTCAAAGCAGTTCAAAGAGAATGGCAATTCAGGAGATGCTGAACGCTTATTAGTATTTAGTGAAGGAAGTAATCAGGAGCAGATTTTTCTCCTCAAGACTTTTCTTTTCATATTACCACAAGTTAACCCGCGCCCTGCTGGGGGGGTGTTTGAACACGCGTTTTTCGCGAATATCTCAAAAACGGCGGCGCGGAGCGCCGCCGTTTTTGGTACACCTTATCATACATCAATACTACACATGTTGTAAAAATTTCAGACTAAGGTCATTCAAGGTCAGGTCACCAGGTCACATGAAGTGACCTCACCTCATAAAAAGTTTCAATGTCTCTCATAGCTACACCGAGTGACCGATCGCTTTGAAACTTTCAGCGATTGCTAAGAGCAATAGCATGTACAAAATGTATATCTCAGAATTTTGATATCGATGACCTAAGGTCAGTTCAATTTTGCGACCTCCCCATTATAAGTCAATGGGAGAAAATTGAAATGCGTCTCTTTTGGACGAAAGACATTATATACACTCCCAAACACTGAATTACAAGTGGTTTAGACACACTGAACATGAAAATGGTGTTCGTGACCCCTATTTATGCCCTGAGGTCATCTTAGGTCACGAATGGTATCTAACAGTTTTTTCGTGAATAACTTTTGATAGAGGCATACTAGAGCGATGAAAACGCCTTAGATGTGTTCAGCTCGACGATACGGATCGACTGATATGCAACATGACCCTTTCCGGTCAGGTCATGACCTTGACCTGAGGTCAAATTTTCAAGTTGACCTTTCAAGGTCAACTTATAGTTCATTCGATGCGGCTTGACGAGAGGAACACGATGCCGGTAAAAGTAAGCTCGTACAAGGCTTGGGTCAAAAGTTATTGCAGAAAAACTGTTTCCGAAAAAATCGGCTATTTTTGCCGTTTTTGTCCCCTGCAGGCAAAACCGTTGACGTTAGGTCAAATCTGAGTAAATTACTCAGAAAGGGCGTTAATAGGGCTATCGAATGCGCTTTTCCGCGGCGCTGTAGCTTTATTGGTTCCCGAGTTATGGCTTCTTGGAAATTTTCGACATTCGACCTGGAAATCGGCGAAATTTTGCCTTCAATGACCTCTGGTGACCTGACTTTTGACCTAACCAAAAAATTGACCGAAGTGATTTCCTCATTATTTTTGACGCTCTTTCGAACGCCGCCTTCCGCGTATCGCTACGTGGCCCAGGAGCCGAGTTAGAAGGGGGTGTTCAAACTCCCCCCCCCCCAGCAGGGCGTGGAAATCCACCCCCAGCCGGGCGCGGGTTAAACCACATAACTTTCGTACCTGCTAAAAAGCTTGAATTCGTCAATATTTTTTTACAATAATTAAGCTCAAGCCCATGTGCTATTTCAATAGGGGCAGGTGGAACGGTGCATATAGGCAAGTGCTCCACTCACTGCGCGCCTTCTTGGGCACCCGTCCGCTCCTGTTGATGGATACGATGGGCGGCATCAGCACGGTGGTGTCGTCAGAGGCCAGCTCGTAGAAACTGTAGTTGTAGCGCCGTCGGCCGGAGCTCCAGGTAAAGTTTACGTAGCCCACCTGTGGGTGACACGGGGAGTTAGGGTGGACATGGGCAGCGTGTTGCAGACAGGCCGCGTGGTTAGTGGGTGCAGCGGCGATCGCAAGTCAAACGGGGGCAATCGTCGATGGCATCTGGTCCGGTTTACTGTTTAATAGTCGTCTGACAATCTGTGGTATTTCCCCTGTCCATCAATGATCAGACATCAGTCCGATTTTTCTTGGTCAGTTGGCACGGAGCCCCGTCTGTGCACGGCGTCGGGAACACGACCAGGAAAAACGCATAAATATAAGTATCCTGGGTGCTGAACTCAGCGTGGATGTCGTTTGCGATGGAGGCCAGTCCTACCTGTCCGTATGGTCGTCGGTGTCTTAGACTGCTGGTCGGCTCACGTCCGTCTGTATGAGTAGGTGCGCATGTCTGTCTGTCGTTCTATTCGTGCGTGCGTCTTCCGTCTGTCTGTCGGTTTGTCGATCGGTTTTGTCTGAATATTGTTTGTCTGAATATTTGTCTAAATGCTGTTTGTTTGTCGTTCTATTTGTGCATCTGTCTGTATCTGTATGTCTGTCGGAGGCTCTCCGACGGCCGCACCTAGCTGCTCAGTGCACCGTGATGCAACGACCCGTCTAAATCATTGTCACATGAGCGGGCCAGCCCGGTCGGCTGCCTTCCAATGAACCCGGGCGCGGAGCGAGGTCAGTTATAGATGGCCGGACAGACGGGCGGGCGCCGCCCCCCCCCCCCCTCCCCCGACTCCGGCGGCTTCAGCTGGCTCCCGATCCGGACATGCCGCCGGACGACCCCCGATGCCGGTCATGGAGACGGGAAAGACAGGAGAGGACAGGGCAGGACAGGGCAGGACAAGAGGGCAGAATGGGACAGGACAGAACTGGGAAGAACGGGACAGGACAGGACAGGACAGGATAGGACAGACCGGGAGATAATAGAGCAGGATAGTAGAGAACAGGACAAGACATGACATGGCAGGACATGACAGAACAGGACAGGACAAGCCAGGACAGGACAAGACAGGATATGACGGGTCAGGACATACCTACCTAACAGGACAGGGCAGGACAGGCTAGAAGAGTAGGTAGGTATCGATTGAACTGGAAGCGACAGGCCAGGACAAATCAGGACAGGATAGGACCGGGCAGGACAAAAAGGCGGTCTGACCAAAAGCAACTGACTGGGGTGGCTTCGGTCCTGCCTTTTCTTGGAAACTGAGCATTGTTGGACATCCTAAGAGCTGTCGTATGCATGTTATGCACGGCCTATCTTTCTGTAATAGCGGCTATCCTACGTTCCTAATTGTATTAATCATGGGTATTTCATTTTACAAGTGGAAGCCCCAGCAGGTGAGTAAATGTTCAGCCTCGAAGTTTCAACATTGGAGTGATGGTCACAGATATGATGATCAAAAATTGATTGTGCGTAAGCTTTCTCTAAATTGATTGGCCAAACTTTGCTCTGAGGTCGCCTTCAATGATTATTGACCCTAGAACGCCTAGGGGGGGGGGGTTGTATCAACCCCCCCCCCTGAGGTTTGTTCGAAGTGCACGCTAAACGGCTTGTCGTAGCGGGCTGAAATTTTCAATACCCTCTGGGGCAACCTTTGCGCATCTTTTGCCGAAAAAAAATTGATCGGGTCATGTCAGGTCACGGAGTTATGACGTCATAAGAGGTACAGCCTCCGACCGGATTTTCACAAACTGAGTGCCAACGCCCGAGGTTTCCTGCCGGTGGTACGGACATCGGTTGATGGATCGTGATGAAACTTCCCATGCATGTTGGGGCAAGTATTGGCTATCATATGGTATAACAAATTTGACCGGGTCAGGTCAGGTCACGGAGCTATGACGTCACAAGAGGAACAGCGTCCGGTACTATTTTTGAAAAGCGCCCGAACCACTATTTTGCTAATTCTTGTCACCTCAATGGGAATATGCAGCAATATTAGCTTCTATAGGGAGCAAATGGACCTCCCAAATCCAAAAATACAATCAGATTTCAAAAATTTAAATTTTGATTTTTCGAATTTCTGCCGCCGACTGTGACCTTGCCGACTTCCGGCGCTCCCAACACGCCATTTTTAGAGCTAGGGAAACGAAATACATACCAAACGATAGAGAATTGATCAAGGAACACGATAGTGAAGGTTTCAAGTCGATATCTCCCACCGTTTTGCCGCAATCGCCGCCGAAATTTGAAAAAAAAAATCTATTTTTCCGAAAATTTGACATTTGACCGGTCAAAAGTAGGTCAAATGTTGACCTAGGACCAAAAAATAGACCACCAATCGCGAGATCTCGTTGAGAGCAATCCGTTGGTTTTTTTCCGCTAAGCTCTACGACCTTCCGTTTCGAAACGCCAGGGGGGGGGTCGTAACAACCCCCCCCCTGGTCGTTCGTGTTATGAGAAATGGCCTGGTCGTGCGAGGGTTGATATGCTTATTGTTGTCAGTTATCAGCTTGTGGAACAGCCTAAGACTGCAATGGACGTTTTCACTGCGTGCCTATTCAATGGGTTTCTTCAAATCGAATTAGACTGGTAACACTTTCGCCGAAGGATGTCCGTTGTGCTCGCTAATTTATGATAATTATGGATGGTTTACCTACCTATTGCATGCATTTCTCGCGATCAAGTGATACACCATATCTATGAGCGTTCTAATTATAGTGAGGAGTTACCATTGTCGTAACGTGTAATCAACAAACTTCCAATGATGCTACTTTGACAAGTTATTGCCGTGCCGTTGCAATGAATTTATAACGAGTGTTCAGTGTTCACTCTACTCAATGAAAAACATCGTTGAAACTGTCCTAGCCTTACAAAAGTCAGGGGAATTCCTGAAGAATGCTATTCGTATTTACTGTTCTGATGAGAACGATGAAACTAAGCCGTATTCAGTTTCCAGTGTAGGGTAAAACGTTCGTCTTTTCATTCTGCCACGTTTTCCGGTAGTTTTGTAATCGATGGTTATAATACCTACACTAAATTGAAGAGGAACAGCAATAAAATAAATAGCAATGTGGCCTATGAAGTCAACTCTTAACACATTTCTTCATTTGGATAAATGGATGAAATGATAATTGACATGAATCGATAAATGAATAAACAAAAATAATAACAAGAAAATAACTCATTTATGGACACATGGTAAGGTATTAGGAAACCAAATATTTCCAGATTGCTATTGGAAAAAAACTTACGAGGCAAATCAAAAGGTACATACCTAGAGGTTATGCCTGTAACTAGTTACAGGCTAAAAGAAGAGGTAAATTTGACTTTCAACAAGCGAGAAACAATAACCATTGATCCTAGTCTATATTTCATCCCCGTATGACCCTCTATTACGTAGAAGCTGGAACAAGTCATAGACGCTCCTTCCATTATAATGACGCATGAGTGAAACCCGGCGAGTTTGCGGTCGCCGTCCGCGCTGATCCACCGGCACCATCAGCCAAAGCCGCCCATCGCCGCCCGGTCCCATGGACCGGCTGCAGAAGTCATACATTTCGCTGCAAGCCGCAATAAGTTGCACTTCTGCAGCGAACCAGCCGACAAATCGTGAATTAAAACAACATATGTTCTCAGTTAATACCACCTGACATGCAATTAGCACCGCCAAATTGAAATAGGTACGAGAGAAAATTAACGCAGTCTAGGCAAAATCACTTGCATAACATAACTGCAGAAACCGTTTCATTATTAGGTCCGTTATAGTGGTTAGCAGGGGCCGTAACCTGACTCTGAATTTGGTGGTAACGTCCTTCTGCACCTCATCACGGCCACTTCTCCGCATTGTCTGGCGAGTCGATGATGGAACGGAAGAGCTGTGAAATTCGCTCGCATGTTCTGCGGTGACAGAGGTCACCTGTTACGCAAGCTTCAGGCGCTGAATGTTTCAGCGGCCAGCGCTCACCAAAGTCCAAATAAGCTGTTTGCGTGATAAACGGCAGCTGTCTGGTGCAGTCACCAGTCCCCTGTGTCACCAGTCACCACTGATCACCCGGCCCTTCCCCGCTGGCCGGGTCGGGAGATACCAGATATGATCACCAATCGACCCCTCCTCTGCACGTGCTGCCCGAGGAGCCTGCTGTGCGCCCCGCCGCGGATAAAGGCTCCACAGGGACCACAACAGACCTTTCTTCCAGCGGTTCTTATTTACGGCCAGGTAAGCTGATTTGTCATCCGGCCAGACAGACATGGCAGGTCGGTGCTTATTTCCCCACTGGAAGTGTGTTGACTGGGACTGGTCGTGTTATGACGGTAGATTGAGACGTTGGCTCGCTGATGTTTAGCGGCGCGCTGGTTCAGTCAGGGTTTTATGCTCCTCTCCCGCTGCCCAGACTCGCCTCACTCACCTCAGCAGGGATCATGGGAAGGTATCGCTCGAAGTTGGGGTCCATGATGTGCGACAGCAGCTGCCCCTTGATGATGATCGGGATCTGTATCCGGTAGCCTGCAATAAAACCGGCCTCCTGTCAGAAACCGTGCGGGCTGGTGGTGGCTCTCTATTGGCCGACACCCGGTATCGGTTTTGGTGAGCGGTTGGGTGAAGGTGGGGACGGGACGAGGGGCGCAGAGGAGCGGGGACACACCTGTTTAACACCTGGACAGCGGCCGTCGGTGACCGCAGTAGACCGAGCACCCCTCTATCGGCCGCCGATCAGCCCGGTCCGGCCGGTAAAAATAGTGCCGGTGGGTCGGTCGGTGCCGGCGGCGGCCGGTCGGCGCGGCGCACAGGGAGCGGAGGAGGGCGCGCGGCCCGCTGACACCCCGCTGCTCGGCCGATTAACTCGGCACCCGTGCCCGGGCCGGCGGCAGTCACCACTCAGCGTCTGGGGCGGCTGCGGTCGCCGGCCAGGTGCCGGGCTCTGTCCCACAGCGCCAATTAGTCCCCGGCCGGTCCGGCGCCCAGGATTTACCGGCGACGCACGACACAAATATCACCCGTGGCAGCTGAGTGGGCGCATTTTCACAGGTAATTAACACGGTGATTTGCTGAAATGAAATTACTTAATAGAACTAGCCGGAACAGCAGGCGCTAAGGAGCAATCAGCGCACAAATTAGATGTCATCATTTAACCGTAACTGCTGCAGCTACTTAATTAGACAGCGTATGCTGTCTGTACAATAGGGCACTGTTCTCACCGTTGAGATGAAGCTAAGACTTAAAGGTGCACAATAAAATATCCAGTGCTTGTGCAATTTTCAAGTTGCAACTACTCTGTCACGCTGTCACATTTATGTTCGTTATTTATGTAAGAATGTTTATTTTACGCTTCCTACATGTTTCGATAAGTTTTCTGTAAAACGAGCGCTGCTGTAAAAGTGAAGTTTAAAAATCATCATGTGGATTGTTGACAGGTGAGGCACGTCATATTACACATTTGCCGTATGATCAAACAGCCGTGTTACGGTCTGGCCGCTGCTGCCATCACAATTAGCCTCTCTGTCCGGAGCGCTATCGCCGTGCCAAGCGAAAGTGATACGTTACGTCTGCTGATATCGCCACTGCAAGCACAGTCATAACAGTTACCAGGTGTTTATGTTACTGCGGCCGCGATCAAAGCTAATTGACGGCCTGCATTGCACAATGTGCAGACCGCTAGCCAAGCCCTATCCTTGACGGGGCGATTCCAATGGGTGAGTCGGACCGCGTAATTACACGATATCACCAATGAAATCATCCTCTGGTCATACACAGGTGACGCAAGGCTCCCGTGTCGTTTCTCACAAGGCAGTCGCCATTCGGAGGGAGGCTCATTTTACTGGCGACGCTCCACTGGCTCACCTGAGAACTGTTCGATCTGGTCTGGGTCGATCCAGAGTCCGAGGTCGTCTGAGTGCTCGCCGCGGTGCCGACGACCCCGGTCGGAGCCTCCCGGTCTCCTTCGGCCCTGTCTGCCTCGACCCGTAGTGTCTCCGGCGGCTCCGGACGAGTCGGCCGCCGCTGGGGCGCTAGGGGAGTCTGCGGCGGTGGAATCAGAGGAATCTGAGGAAGTGGAAGGATCGGACGAACTGGAGGAACCCGGAGAATCAGAGGAGCCGCTGGAGTCTCCGCCAAGAGGTCTCGATGGACCTCGGGATCCTCCCGGACCGCGCCGCCGCTGGCCGCGCCGCCGCTGACCGCGCTGACGGCGACCGCGCTGACGGCGCTGACCTCGCTGGCCGCGGGGCCGGCCGGAGGTCGCTGAGCGCCGGGCGGTGGAGGAGCCGGGGTCGGACGGCTCGGAGCGCGAGCTGGTGGAGCTGGGCGGCTCCGGGGAGACCGGGGAGCCGCTGACTGTGCGCAGTGCGGTGGCGTTGGCGTCTCTCCTGGCTGGCAGTGAGAGTGCGCTGGTGGTGGCTGCCGGCCGGCCGGGCCCGACGTCCTCCTGCGAGCCGACCTGGCCGAGTCCCGGCACCAGCAGCAGCGTCAGCGCCAGCCAGCAGCCGGTCAGCTCCATCGGGTCAGCTCGCACACACCTGGCGGACGGAGGGTCAGGTCAGCGAGCGAAGGCCCTGGAAACCCGCTGCGGCGTCTGTGCAGGTTTCCAAGCACAGTGAACATCATTCAGTTCCTCTTCACTCTGCACTCACTTTTTACCACTATGCAAACAAACATCTTCACCCACGTCGGACAAAAGGTTTTGATGTGTGTTTACGCTCTTTGTTTATTCTTTACCGCAGACAAGTTGTTTAGGTCTACCAACAGCATTTCAAAGTATCAGCCCCGGTGTTCAAGCATTCGCCGGGCCATAGCTCAAAGCGTTGACTACTTCACGGCATCTTGCACAGATGTCTACGCCACGATAACACGGCTCGTTGGCAAGACAGCGTGCTCGTCGGCGTTCGACCGAGGCTGGGTAACGTCCCAGGGTGCCGCGCGGCTGAGTGAGGAAGGGTGCAGGAGCGCTGGGCGATGGAAACACACGGCCCTCCCCTCCCCGACCCAGTGGGCGGCTACCGTCTGATCTCTGCCATCGACACCGGCCGCTGTAAACAGACTGTCAGACAGAGCGGCTGCCGACCGGGCTCACAGCCCAGCAGCGAGAGAGGGTAAATACCGGGCCTGAAACGGCGCCAGGCCAGAGCGCTGCTGCAGAGCGCCGACCAGAGGCGCCTCCGAGTACCGACGAGAAGTTTCAGAGCTCTACACTCTGGGCCTCACTTCTACTGTTGTCTGACCAAATAGGATGATGCATGATTGAAGCTTGTATGAAGTACTTGCAGTCACTATGTAGATATGCACCATTTATATAATATGTAATGGTGCAGCCTGGTTTTCATGCTGCGCTCAGCTGATGCAGCGAACAGAGGACACAGACCATGCCCGGCCAGCCGTCAGCCCGCACCGTCGCTGATATACCGACCGACCGCCACCCAACATCCATCAATGATCGACACAACACTTAGCCTGTCACTTATGCACTGCGAATTTATGCATTCACAAAGGCCGATCCCTGGCCGCCCGCCGTTTGCTTGCATTGTAAATAGACGGATGATATCATTGGCGGTGTTAGAGGTCGTTGATGAAATGCAGTCGCCGGGCCGGTGCGCCGTGGCCGCCGGCCGGACCGTGTCCAGCGATGGAACGGCCGCCAGCCGATATATCTCATCGGATCATCGACTGGCGGCGACACGGCACATCAGACGGCACCGCCTCGGTCAGACAGGGGGCCGCCGCGGTCAGACGGGGAGCCGCCGCGGCCAGACGGGCAGACATGTACCGAGCCAGACAGAGGTCTGGGAGTGGGGACAGCTCCGGCCGCGAAACAGTGCTGCGGACAAATTGCTCTGTCACACCGTTACAGAAGCAGCTGCGGCAGACGGTGCAGAGGATGGCTCCGGAGAGACGAGAGCTGCTCTGAGCCACAGTGCCAGCTTTGGTGAAGGAGCACGTCCTGGCCTGTGAGCACTGTCCGATAGCACGTCCGAGCGATGGGCACGGTCCGACTTAACCCGGCAGTTGCTGGGGTATTTCGCCACCCACCGTTTGCTGGGGGGGGGCGTTAAACGCCCCCAGCCGATAACTCGAGAACCAATAGGCGCAGCGAAACGCACGAGGCGGCAAACGAAAGAACGCGACGAGACGCTTCAGATGAGTACTTTAAAGTTGAATTTTGAGGTCACAGGTCGGGTCAAGGTCAGGTCAAACACCTGAAATCGGGCTTTCAGTAGCATGAACTTCAGGACTTCGCAATGGGCGCCTCTCGTCAGAAACTCTGTCAAAACGGTGCACAATCCATCATATAAGGCCTACAAGAGTGTCAGTTTCATGTAGGGGTCAGTCAAGCATAGGTCAGGGTCAAGGTCAGGTCAACCGGGTAGGCACATATCCCCGAAAATCAAAACTGTTATTCGCAGCCTATGACACATGTTTTATGGGTAATTTGGGCCGTAGAACACGATGGTGACATTCATTTTATCATATGTGTACGTGTTTGGCTAAAAAAGTTCAATTTAAGAAATTCATGTATCATGGTCGTGAAGTAGTCACGAGAAATTGTCAAGATTCAGTTCAAGATTTTGGAAAATGCGGAACGATAATCAATAATCGAAGATAGCCATTTGATTGTTCATGGCATTGGCAGTCTAATGGCGTTTACGGCATGTCTGTATGTCTATTCTGTGATTTTATATGATTTTTTGAACATATGCCGTTTTTGGTCGAAAACTCAGAAATCATGACGTCACTAAAACCTCAATATCTCAAAAATTTTCCGACCGATTTTTTTGAAACTTTGTCATAATAAACTTCAATCAATTCCCTACAGGTACCCAAAATTTGGCGCGCCTGCGGCGCGCCATTTTTATGCTATGGCCCGGCGAAAAAAGTGGGGGCGTTTAACGCCCCCCCCCCAGCAACTCGCGGGTTAACCGCTGTGTGACCGAGTGACGCAGCACGCAGAGGAGTGACGCAGTGGAGCGAGGCTACCCGATATGCAGCGAGACTGTTGGAGCAGCGTGAGTGACTAGCTCAGTGAACATTGAACAAGGACGTTTTTGTGCATTGGCTGAATGTCTGAGTGGTATCAAAAAGTTCAGGAACACTGGCACTCACCGGCGACAGTGACTAGATTTGAACGAATGTGTAGGTATGTACGCATGGTAGCGTCGGTAATTGTCACAAGACCGTAACCGTATCTTAGAAATACCTGTCGCTGGCGTGCTGAATCATGGTGCCGCTGACAAGCGATTGAAGTGACAGCTGCCGACAGGTGACTGACGACAAAAGAAGCTTCCATCGTACTGCAGTGCTATGTGGGTTACCTAGCACGGAGAGAATGCTCGAAGTGGCACTGTGTGCATAGGCACATCCCTGACTAAACGTGGGTTAGGAGGAACTGATTACTGAACAGAGCTGTCTTTGGAAGTAGCACAGTCTTTATTGGATGGCGCGTGCCTGTGGCACAGCACTGACCGTGCAGCATGTGCAGCAGTTCATTGCACCTTTGTCACTCCGAGCAATTATGTACCGTTCCTGCGTGCCCCGTATGTGCGTTCTGTGTGTTCTGTGTGCGCAGTGCTCCGTGTGTTCCGTGTGTGTCCGTCGCTCGCTGCAGGTGTTTGCCCGCAGAGGTCGCACGCCCGCCGTCCCCGGTCCGGTGAACGTGCACCTTCCTCGCCGGTTACCGCTCTGTTTGACCGATAGGGCCGTGGTAGGACGCCCTCTTCCGCCGGCGCCAGATCCGGCCGACCGCGGCGAGGGTCCCAGGCCGGGGTATGATGAGGTGGGGACGCTTTTAAAAAAAGAAACAGCTACAATACTCGTAAATACATCAGCTTACTCATCTCAAAAGAACGGTTCGTATGTAGCAGGAGAAGGAAAATGTGATATTTACTATCGCATCTGTTTTTTACAAGTATTTGTACCTAAGTATGTTGGGCTTGCTAAATCTAGAATTACGCCTAGCATGAACTCATCTCAGAAGGCTCATGAAAACTATGCATGGCCCATGACCTTATAAGTGCTTGTCTGACTAACGAACGGGATGCCGGCGAGTGACGGCCTCGGTCACAAAACAGGTCTGTGACGTCACTCATTGTACTGGTCCAGTGACGTCACGCAGCCACCGCAGTTGGAGTCGGTCGACTGTCGGGCCGGTGACGGGCCCAATCACTGATCAAGGCCAGCAGAAGCAGTAATTGGACCCAAACACCTACTGACGACCGATGGGACGACCTCAACATTTATCCCTAAAAAGAGCAAAATTTGCGAATAAATGGCAGGACTTTTTATGAAATGGCACTTGCTATGGTTGATAGCGTGCAATGTCTACATCTGACTATTTGCTTACGTTGGAATGAATAGTCACTTAGTTGCTTTGAGATATTCACACATTCAGTGTGTAAATCACACTACATTGAAAAGCGCAACAGCTCTAGCATATTGGCAAAGTGCATTAACAATCTCTTTTAACTTCTACAATGCTTTGTTGTTGCCGAGCATCCTGTAAGCATGTATGTATTTGTGTAGGTACGCAAATGCTCCTCAGTGTGACTGTCCAGTGTCCACCGTCCACCATCCTTCTGTTTATCAATGCTACCAATACAGGACTTATATGTCATGCGTGGGAGTTTCCGTTATAGTTTTGACCATACATACTTAAAGAGTGTGTACATATTAGAGATGTCAATCGGATACCGACTTTTTGGTATACCGATACCAAACCGATACCAACTTGGTGTTTGGTATTTCAATCCTAATGTGTTCGGTATTTTGTTGGTATCATGAACCCCCACTTATGTATAAGAGGCTAAGAAATCGGTAAAAAGTTTGTATTTCCCTCATATTCCCAAGCTGGTTTGGATTCGGTATTTCTCCACGGTTTTGGTTAGTATTTGGTTTGGTATCGGTATTCCGATTTTCCGTAACTGACCGCATTGTGCAAAGTTCTTTTCCTGTGCCTTTCTGCACATACATAATAAACATCCTAGGTATCATTTGAGGTACACCAAAATATTTGTGTCCCACACCTGTGCCAAAGACACATCAGTCTTTAGCACTCCGACCGGTAACATTCATCAGTCCATGAATCACTCAAACACCGCCTCATCACTCAAAACGTGTGGCAGCACCAGGAGGCCGGGTAAAGGTCAGGCTGACCGCTCAGCGGCCGTGTGAGAGCCCAAATGAGATGATGTCTTAATTACCACGCCGGCCATGTTTCGGAGAATTATGAGAGACGAGACAGGCGCAGCGCGCTGAGGCCGGCAGGCAGACGTATCGGCCAGTTTTATGGTGAGCGGCCACGGCCGCGGCGCTCAACCAGTCGGCAATAAACTCTAATTTATGAACGTATCTACAATGTAACTGAATGCGTCTCAAAACAAAGAAGGGCATTATCGGCTGGCAGGTATCGCTGAGCATGTGGGCACCATTAGCGGCGCGCATGAAAGCCCGGTTCCCACCAGTGGCGGATCCTGGGGGGGGTCCACGGGGTCATGACCCCCCCAAAAGGTCTGAGAGGGTCATTTGACCCCCCCCCCCCAAAAGCCGAAGACCTAAATGCGCTATAGACGCCGTCTTGCATGCTCAAAATCACATGTCAAACACTTCTGAGCTAATACCTTTGTTTTTCTGGATCGTGTTGCGTGAAAAGGCGTATTGAAGGCCAGAATCTTACTCATTTTTGTCTCAACCGTGCGAGCACCAGGGGATGATCCAGGAAAACTCCAAGGGGATGGTCATGAATTTAATTCGTGGTGCCCCTACCTATACGCAAAATTAAAAACTCAACGGATTTCGGCCACTTAATTTTGGTGATGTCCTATTTCCATTTTTTTTATTTTGTTTGTTTTATTTTTAGTGCCCCTGGGCCCTGGCAGGTCAAAATCACGTCGGAGGCGAAAGAAATTCACGGGAATCCCAAAAATCACGTCAGGACATTCAGGGCACTCTGACCAGCCTGACAGCTAGGGCCCTTCTTACTTCCTGGGGCCTCCAGTGAATAACCGCTAGTGTCTGTGTCGGCCCCTCTGACTCCTCAGTAGGTAGGAGGCCCTCTGTAGAGGAGACCCTCTGTGGAAAGGAGACCGCCTGAATGCAGAAGGCCCTCTGAAGAGAGGAGACCCGCTGTAGAGAGAAGGCCCTCTGAAGAAAGGAGGCTCTCTGTAGAGAAGAGGCCCTCTGAAGAGAGGAAGCCCTTTGCAGAGATGAGGTCCTCTGGCTCTTTGAAGAGAGGAGGTCCTCTGTAAAGGAGGCCCTCTGAAAGGGAGAGACCCTCAGTAGAGAGGAAGCCCTCTGTAGAGAGGAAGCCTTCTGTAGTTAAGAGGCCCTGTGAAAAGAGGAGGCCCGCAGTAGAGATCGGTGGTCCTCTGTAGAGAGGAGACCCCCTCTGTGTTTTGACAAATGTTTTTGCAAATTTTTCGCGGCGCTTCGCGCCGCCGATTCATGTACATACGTACAGGTCAATATGAAATCGTGACTGTAATTACATAAACCAACCGTGTCAAATTGAATCAGAATTCATATGTGTACTGTGAAGAAACTCCGGCTTGTACTGCCATGCTAAAAGGGTGGTAAAATTTATGTTTTGGAGCGGAGCTGTGTTTTGACACATTCTTTTGCAAATGTTCTCGGCGCTTCGCGCCGCCGATTTATACACCAATCAATAAGAGAGATCGTGACTGTAATAACACCAACCGTGTCAAATTGAATCGGAATTCATATGTGCACTGTGAAGGAACTCCGGCTTGTACTAGCATGCTAAAAGGGTTGTAATATTTGTGTTTTAGAGCTGTGTTTTGACAACTTTTTTCAAATTTTTGCGGCGCTTCGCGCCGCCGATTCATACACAGGTCAATAAGAGAGATCGTGACTGTATGCTACTAATGCATTGGGCATTAGACTAATGCATAAGTGAGGTAACTATATCTACTACTTCTGGGTTTTTAAGTCGGTCGATCCGCCCCCCCCCCCCCCAGTAAAAAAATCCGTGGCGACGCTCCTCTATAGGTGGGTTTCACAAACTAAAACTACTGAGCCGAGTGACTTACGATAAAACTTCAACTCAGAAACGACGAAGATCAAATGTCATTTGATCTCGACATACTCGCTCCCTACCCCCCCCCCCCCCGGTCGTCAGAATTCATTCATCAGACCTGGCATGTCGGCCGACTGGTGACCCCCCCCAAAACGTTCCCCTAGATCCGCCCTTGGTTCCCACTGGGCCCGTCACCCGTCAAAACGGGCCCGTCGCCGTCACCCACCGTTTTGAAGGCCGTTTTTTCCCAAGTTGAATATGGCAGCCACGAAACGGGCCATCTGGTAGCACTTGTCGTGACAAAAACGGCGCGCATGATTCGTTCTACGCGCAGTGCTGGGGAACGGGGAGGGGGCGGCTGGCCGGCGGCCGATGGGACCAGAGCGGATGGGACGCCGCCGGCCTGGCCTGCCGGGTGTAGCGCATCGCTGTGGGGAGTCGCTGTGGGAGTGGGGAGTGTCCCGTGTCCGGCGGGCCGTCTCGGACCGCGCGGCGGCGTCGCGTCTCGCTGTGGGGTCTGTCCGAGCGGCCGCGTCCCCCTCACCGCCTCCCGGCAGAGAGGGGTCAGTCTGGCGATAGGTTTGGTGTGGTGTGCACGAGAAGTGAACATACTGGACAGCCACAGGTTTGTTTTATTATTTCAAAACCTGCTGTCATAATAAAGTAGCATTTTTTAGACAGGACTGCACCTCAATCAAGTTGACTGCCTAAAATACCATCACATTTCCATTTTAACTTGATGATCAGTACCTAATGCAATATTGTGCGGGGGAGCAGGATATACTCGTACTCTCTGTTTTAGCTGTTAAAATTGAGCATTGTCTTCATGACTAGACGTCAATATCATATGTATGGTATGTACCAAAGCGGCGCAATGCCAGATGAGTTTCCCGACAATTTCTCTTCAAAATGTACGATATTTTACGTTATTTTACTTAAATAATCATTTTTACATGATCTACAGTCATCTATAACCTCGTCCAAACCATACTCACGTCTGGAATAAGAAGGAACACAGAAGCACCGACGCGAAAAAACGGGCCCGTTCCTCACCAAAACATGGATTTTTCCATGTCTCCGAAACGGGCTCCAAAACGGGCACGCGACGGGGCGCAACAGCTGATTGCGACGGGCCCGTCGCAATCAGCTGTTGCGCCCCGTCAGTGCTGCCGCCGCCCGGTTCCCACTGAGCCCGCCAGGGACGGGCCGCTAACGGGTCCGTCAACGGCGACGGGCCCGTTTCGACGGGTGACGGGCCCAGTGGGAACCGGGCTGAAGACATCCGAGCCGTCCGAACCCCCGCCCTCCCCCCTCTCTGCTGTCCCCCTATCCCCCATCCCGTCCGTGGAGCGATAATGGGCCGAGGGGAGCGGAGACCGATCGGGCCATCAGAGACGCGGCGGTGATTTGGGTAAACCAGGGGTGGAAAATCGGTCATTGGATTATCCGAGCTGAACAGGTGTGACTCAAGTGTGAGCAGGGGTCGTGTTTGGCTCCAACAGACCTTTGTATGGACCAAAAGACTGGCAGGCTGATCATATTGACTGAACAGGTGTTGTTTGATGCCTCACGCTTCTTGTTATGAATTAGGTAATTAAGTTTCCAGAAGTATTTGTAGATTTGTTTTGAAGTATGATAATAAACATGCGTCGGCTCACCGCAGCTAACTATTTCGGTGCCTCAAATCGTACCGTTTCGCCAAAAGTCGCCAATGGCCATGGTTCTCTTATACGTCAAGAAACTAAAATGTTACGCCAAAGTAATTAAAACTTTAGATCGAATAATTCATTTCTAAACTGACTATCTGAAACGAAGTTTTTCTGGAGCCTCGCTTACGCAACCGAGTCACCTATTCGATCTGTGCTGTCTCCGTGTCTCCCGGGATTGAGTCCTTTGGACTGCGCCACCGAGTCAGGACTGATTGCTTCAAGAACGGTTCCACCCCGTGCCCTGACTGGACTGGCAGTCTGCCTCGCTACTGGTCGGTCGGCTGCCTGCCATACTGGGCTGCTGGGTCGGTCGTCCCCCCTGCTGTTGTGCTCGGCCAATCGTCTCCTTTACTGGGGTGCTAGTTCAGTCGTCTCCCTCACTAAAGGGTGCAGGGTCGGTCGTCTCCCCAGTCCTGTGGGTCAGTAGTTTTCCCAGGCGGGGTTCAGAGTAGGTTGTTTGAGTCTCCCTTGCTAGGATGCAGGACTGGTCGTCTCTCTGGTCCTGGGTCACTCGTCTCCGTGCCGTACCGCTGCCAATCGCCTCTCCTGCCGTACCATGTTGGTATTGCGCCTTCGCCGGTGCGGTCAGTGACGACAGGTGAGGGTAAACGTTGGCACCCTCGCCTCCCCCGAATACCAATGAGTGTCGGTAGTCCATCACTGTGCCACATTATGCAAATCAATCCACGCCAAACCCGTGGGAAACGGGCGCCGGCCGCGGCAGTTCGAGCTCGGTCCAGGGGCACACCGTCCGCGGCCGGCCGCCGCACCCCGTCGGCGGCCCGCCCCACTCCTCCAGACCCAGACAGAGTCCGCCGGGATCGTCAGAGTCCACGGGAGTCGCCCAGAGTTCGCCAGAGTCCAGAGAGACATGTCCGCGGGTCACCGGGTCGGCTGCCGGCCGACCATTCTCGCTAACAACGCCGCACTTATCGCATGATGAACGGTTCGAGCCGAGCCGCCCATTAAACCCAGTTAATTTAATGCTATCCATCAAACAAGTTTGCAACAAGTGACAGCGTCATCTTCACGTCTCGGCACGGCGGCCGGCGGCCCGGGACGGCTGGAGGCTAGCGGGCATCCAGACAGACTGGAGGTTTGCTGCTCGCTCCCGACCGGCGCTATCAGTAGCCGACGGATGGACGGACGGGCGGACGGGTACGCGCGGGTCGTGTGTCACGTGCGGTCGGTGACGTCACGGGGGCAGGATATGGAGCCGCCGATGACAGCGTCATGACCTCAGCGCTCCGTCTGCAGTCGGCTCAGCTGGGCGGCCGGTGCAGAGAACGGCGGCGGCGGCCGGCTGCGACGCACCAGCCACCATCCATCCTCCGCCGCCGTCAGATTTACCAAACAGCCGCGGCCGGCAGAAACAGTGCAGCGGCGCCGGCACTGGGGCCGCGCCAGCCAGAACTACGCCACGGGAAATCCGATGAGACCCGGCCCCTCCAGCTGGAGAGAACGTCCGGAAAGGATGTGTCCCGCGTCGCCGGTCTGTCCGGGCCGGTCCAGCGGGCGGCGTGGCACTCACCTATCTCGCCGTGGGCTGGCTCATCGGAGCAGGTCGACACTCCGGCGCAGCCTCTGTCCGTGGCCGGCTGGCCTCACTGACTCGCGTCCGTCTCTCGCTCGCTCTCACGTGCCGGCGGCGGCAGAGGGCCGGGCGCGTGCGGCCACCACCTCACCTGCTGGTCGACTGAGCGCGCCGCCGCCGCCGCCGCTGCCGCTGCCGGGCCGACCGACCGGCCGGCCGCCCCCTGCCGCCGGCCGGCCGCAGCTCGTCACACGGGGGGCACAACCTGTTGGTTCACGGCAAAAAGCCACCGCCCGGCCCTGAGACGGACCGCTCCGGTCGGCAGCGCGCGAGCAGCGGCCGGCAGCCGCCGCCGCCTATCTGATTAAGTAATTATACACGGCCAGTCGGATGGCTTTATCGGAGCGCAGCGGCCGGCGGCGGCGGCCAGCGCGGCTAATTAATCACGTGAAGACTGGCCAGCCGGCAGCCAGGTGCCGCTCACGACCGGCCTGCACGGAACGGGCGCCGCTCCTGACCCGCGGTACAGGGGATGGGCGCCGCTCCTGACCGACCAGTATAGGCACAGGCGCCGCTCCTGGACTGCGGTATAGCCTTCGCCCCAGTGGGGGGGGGGGCATATGTTACCACCCTGTCGCGTTTTTTGCGTGTGAATAAAAAACCGCGGCGCGTAGCGCCGCGCCGCTTGGGGTAGCTTTTGGTACATCAATTTTGGACAATGTGTGAAATTTTTGACCCCAGGTCATGTCAGGTCAGGTCACCAGGTCAAGTTAACTGACCAAGCCTAAAAAAAAGTTTGCAATCATGTCCAGCCTGCAGTGTTTGTCAGAAAGGTTTGAAACTTGGTGGATTGCATGCTGTTATGGGCGCCTACAATTTGTATATCTCGGATTTTTTATATCCGTGACCTAGGGTCAGGTCAGTGGCGTGACCTTTCCATTACAAGTCAATGGAGAAAAATGAAAATGCCTCTAGATCCGTGTGTACGCATAGGAACAGTCCAAATATTTCAGAATCACAATGATTTAGTCCACTTGTGATGACCAAGGTGTCATTTTTGCTGATAGCCTCTAGACAGGTCATCCGAGGTCACTTGAGGCTACAAACAGTTTTTTTGCCAATAACTCGCGATTGGAAAGAGATAGAACGCTGGGGATGGTCTCATTGTGTTTGTCTTGTTGAGACGCATCGACTGATATGCAACATGACCTTTTCCGGTAAGGTCATAACCTTGACCTGAGGTCAAATTTTCAAGTTGACATTTCAAGGTCAAATTATAGTTCATTCGACGCGTCTCGGCGAGGGAAACACGATTCTGGCAATAGAAATGTCGTGGCGTTTTGTAGTCGAAAGTTATTGTCGAAAAACTCTTTTCGTAAAAACAGCTATTTTTAGAGTTTTTGCCCTCTGGAGGCTAAACCGTTGACTTGAGGTCAATATTGATAATAACCTTTTCAAAAGAAGAGTTCAAAAGCTATCGTTTTCTTTCCCATGCGTTTTTCTAGCTACCATAGTTCCTGAGATAGCGGCATGTTTTCTGAAAAATATAATGACAATTGGCAAATTTTGACCTTTGATGACCTCTGGTGACCCCAATATTGCTCTAAGCTGAAAAATGACTGAAATACTTTCAAACGTACGCATTGAGAGCTATCGACTGCTTTTTACCGCGTCTTTCTAGCCCTCTTAGTTTTTGAGTTAGAGGTGGGTGGTAACATATGCCCCCCCTCACTAGGGCGAAGTTGGCTGAGACCGCCACTGGGGCGCGGGATAGGGAACGGTCGCCGCTCCTGACCCGCAGTACAGGGGATGGGCGCCGCTCCTGACCGACCAGTATAGGCACAGGCGCCGCTCCTGGACTGCGGTATAGGGAACGGTCGCCGCTCCTGACCCGCAGTACACGGGATGGGCGCCGCTCCTGATCCGACCGGTACACAGGGAACGAGCGCCGTTTCTGACCAATACGAGTACACAGGGAATCCGGTCCGACCAGGACCCGGGCACAGAGAACACGGGCAAACCTGAGGACTTGGACACAGACTCGGCTGGACGGGAAGACAGACCCGGCTGCACGGGAGCACAGACCGGACCTGGCGGAGGAACACAGACCCAGCTGGACGGGAGCACAGACCGGGCCTGGCGGAGGAACACAGACCCAGCTGGACGGGAGCACTAACTCGGCTGCCGACTGGACCTGGGCACAGACCCGGCTGCACGGGAGCACAGGCCCGGCCAGCTCCGGAGCATTGAGCTGGCCGGGATTGACCGGAGCACAGGGACGACTGAACCGGTATATCGGCACATTGAACAATTGATAGCCCCTACGACTGGATCAGAATATTGAGCAGACGAAGGTGAGCTGAAGCGCTGAGCACTGGGCACTGAGAAGATCGAAAACGACCGGTAAGGATCTGAACAGTGAACATGCACATGGCATTTCGCGAGCATGCCAAGCCGACGCACAGATCGTAGTACGGGACCACGCCAGCATTGTTTGCAATGCTGACAGCATCATCAAGCAACACGGACACCCAGCCAGGAAGGAAACCATTTCGACCTGATCTGGGAGTAGATTTGACCTAGCGCTAGTCTGTGACCTGGCCGCGGCGAGGTGTGACCCGACCCGGCCGGTCGGCGGCTCGGCCGACTGCCAGTGCCGCCGAGGGGCCGGGGGCGGTCCGGGGCAGCGGGCAGACGGCCTCAGCGGACGTTTACGGCCCGTCCCGGCCGGCCGCGGACGAGGTGTTAACTGGGAGCCGGGCGCGGGCGCCGCGGCGTGCAGCGCTGCCGGCCGCCGCCGCCGTGCACCCGTATCGAAGACAGGTTATGCAAATGAGCGGCCGCCGGAAAGACGTGCCAATTGATTGGGGGAAACGGCCGACAGTGACGTCTGTCGGCGTCACCAACAGACGTCACGGGTACTGTCACTGGTATGAGCACCGTTACTGTCAACAGTCACCATCACAGTCACCATCACTGTCACAGGTACAGTTACAACAGTAGGTCCGCACAGTCACCGTTACTATCACTAACCGGCACAGACACAGACATCCTCGCAGTCACCGTCACAGCAGAGAAACAGTCACAGGCAACGTCACCAGTATCGTCACGGTCAGTCACTGTGGCTGCCACTGAAACCGCCATTTACATACCTCAGCATAGGTATCGCTGAGGCGATACAGCCGTCAACAGTCAACAGCTAACACTGGTCTGAATATATTGAAATAAGAAAGGCTAAGGATAGTGATAGCGTAATTGAAGTTCGTTTGGTTTGACACCGGCTCTGATGTCTGAATAAAACAACCATCGGGCGTGGGAAGTATTACGATTATGTCGTCCCGGACTCCCGTGCCCTCTGTCTGAGACAAGTCCTGAGACCAAGCAGCCCCCATCGTCACCCCTCCCCGCCCTACCTAAGCCCGTCGCTATCCCTTCTGGCACCGTCCATTAGCACCGTGTCGAGGTATCGAATGAACACACCTTCTCCTCTCACTCACACATGTTAGACGGCTGATGATCAGTGGAAGAGAACGCACGGCTTTGAGGACGTGTTTGAAAATGATTGACGTCTGACGATGAATGGTAATATGACGATTGTTGATGTTGAAGTAGTTTCCAGCCTTGCGCTTGTCTCGTTTTTTTTTTAACAGACGTGTCCTTGCAAACCATTCCTTTTCTGCAATGGCTTACTGCCTACGTACCGTAGATACTAACCCTCGCCGGCACACGGGGGGTTGATACAACCCCTCCTAAGGTTTTTTGCAAATAACTCGCGTAAAAGCGGCCGATTGCAACGAAACTTTCAGTACCCTCGCGGTAATCAATTATACACCTATACCCTGAAAATTTCATGACCCTGACCCAAATGACTTTTGACCTGTGGCCTACTTTCCGAGACCATGTTTGGCCGGAATCGAGATTCGGCGTATGTTGGCTCACATTAGCCGCGCGTTTGCAGTCTTTTCGTGGTTTCAAGCGTTCAAACATGTGATTTGATATTTCTCCCATGCATTAGGTTGGAGGTCAAGGTCACCTGAAGGTCAGGTCAGGTCATTGAACTTTGATGACATTGGTCCACTTTTTCGAGTTTTACATGTTTCTAAGCTAGTTTTTGGAGCTGAATTCGATTTTAACGACATTTAAACATTTACGAAGTAGTTTTGGTGCCTCCGTAACATGCTACGAAGCTGTCAGAGGTGGTTGACACGTACTACAAATACCCGGTACGACCCTTACTGGTTGACCTGACCTGGCCTGACCTGACCTGACCTGACCTGGCCTAAATGCATAAAGACACCATCTGTGATAAAAACTAGCATGAAATTCGTGATCAGCATCCCGAAAACCCCCATAACAGCCACGCTCATGGTGTGTCATAAGTGGAAATAGCCTCCCGGCTTTAGTTCGCCAGCCTTGTCAATAGATGGCAGTACCACAATATGGGCAGCGGATCGTGGAATTGACGTCAAATTTTCGTTAACTACTAAGAATTGAATGGCGGATCTTTTCATGCAAGAATCAAGTAAATCGGTCCACAACTTTTCTAGCAACAGAGATATGAAGTCAAACACCCTGCCAGAGCGGCGGCGCGGCGGCCGGCGGCAGCCGTTACGCGCCGCCTGGGAGACTGGCGGCGCTGAACGGTTCCGAATTGGCACTGCACTAAAACCTGTTAACTGCTTGGAAAAGTTATTATAGCAAAATTTTCATTCAAGTGAGGAATAACCAAGGGCAGGAAGTATGTACGCTTGTGTGCGTACTATGTAAGCCAAGAAACTGCATTAGCAGATACTCGCTAATATTAGATCCAGCCAAGTCCAAACGCATTCCAGGTGATGTGTTTTTGATAGGTCAACAATATTTATCGTTCGAGGGCGGATACAGTTTTAACAATACAAAAAATATTTTTGCACAGCTCTATTCCTTGAATAATTCTCTTCAACGCCTCATTCCTAGTTAAGCGAATTAGCCCACCCTGGTTGAATAAATAAGGCGATTTCACCACAAGGTCGGGGAAAACCGACCGAAAACGGCCGCGCTCAACGTTAATTTGGGCATGCAGACTCTTAAAAACTCGCATTGGGCGGGCAGGGTTTCCCAGGTATTGGCTTCAAAACACCGTATTCGGCTCCCGAATACGTCCAAGTGACCCGCCTCGTTCCTAGTTAAGCTCTAA